AGGTCATGTCCCCCGTCCCCCTCCCCGGCTTGGGGACAGGCCCTGCCCTGCCCGCGGCAGGGTGGCGGTGGCAGCCCGGGGTCCCACGGCAGAGCCACCCCGGGGCTGAATTAAATTGATTTCTTTCCATTTTGGTACCAAATTTGCAGCCTTTCGGAAGGGAGGCGATGAGCGCTCGTCCCTCCCGCTCGGCTCCGTGCTGGTGGGGGGCAAAGTTTGGGAAGAGGGGGGGAACCCCCCCACCCACACCTTCTTCCCAAGGGAATCCCTCGGGAGCCGGAGCGATGCGGGGGGCTCGGGCCCGTGGGTCCCCCCCGTCCCGGCAGTGGGCACCCGCCTCCGCGTCCCCGTGCCGGGGGCTCGGTGCCGCCCGTCCGCGGGCAGGGGGGGCCGCGGGCAGAGCCTCCCCGCCTCTCCGGCCTCCTTTCCCCCCCTCATCCTCGCCGTTCCCAGCTGACGGCAAACATCAAAGCCTTGTTTTCTCGCCAACCTGCCACGCTCCGGCGTCTGCCAGGAGCACGAAGCCACGACGCCCGGCTCGGAAACCCCAGCGATGCCGCAGCGGAGGGGTGGGGGGAGGCTGCAGCGTCGCTTCCCTCACCCCCCCGGTACCCCACCGCGCCGGCATCGACCGCGGAGCAGCACGATCCGGCCTTCGCCCTGCCTGGGAGATTAACCGCGCCGGCTGGGCGCTGCCGAGGGTGCTCCCGCCACGGTTCCCGAGCAGGACGGTGCATCCGGGTTGCGCCGAGGAGCCCGTTTTCACGAGCGCCGTGTGCTGCTGCGCGCGGGCCACGCCAAGGCAAACGGTGCCATCTGCTCGCCGGCGCCCCGGGGGATGCCGGGGAGTTGGGTGCCCGCTCGCCTTTGCCGCGCCGGGGCTGTTTCATGCCCGTGGGGTGGTCGGGGAGGTCCCAGGTGTGGGAGCGCGGCCTGGGTGCCCTCCCTGGGGTTTGGGTGTCGGGGGGGAGCCGCAGGGGTTTCGGGGCCGCAGCTCTCCCTGCCCGCGTTTTCTCTTCCAGTCCGAGTACCACTACGAGTACACGGCGTGCGACAGCACGGGCTCGCGGTGGAGGGTGGCCGTGCCGCACACCCCGGGACTCTGCACCGGCCTGCCGGACCCCGTCAAGGGCACCGAGTGCTGTAAGGTTGGGGGGACAGGGTGGGGGGGTCCCGGGGGGTGGGGAGGGCAGGGCAACGAGGGCGAGGAGCAGCGAGCCGAAGCGCGGCTTTTCACCAGCTCCCTCGCAGCGCGGTGCTTTCCGAGGCGGCGAGGGGGGCCCGGCCGCTCGGCAGCAACCAGCACCCGGTAGCGCCATCAGCTCGGCACGGCGAAGGCCAGGGTGCGATCAGGGGATTGGAAACCACCCCCTGCCGCCCCAAGGCTGGGGGGTGCCGTGGCTGCGCAGCGCGCGTCGGCGGGGGGGTCGCATCCTGCCTGGCGCTCGTTGCTGGTGGGCAGGCAGGGAGGTGCCACGGCGTTGCCAAAAATCATAAATTGGGGGGGGTGGGGTGGTGTTCACCTCGCTGCCATAGGGCTGGGGGATCCCAGAGCCGGCCAGGCGCCGTCGCTAGCGGGGAGCGCTCCGAAAAGCAGAGCTGAGGATGAGGAGGCCGAAGCAGGGCTGGGGGGAGCGGGGGTTGAGCGCCCTGACCCCCGCCCCGTTGCACGCGGGCAGCTTTCTCCTGCAAGGCGGGCGAGTTCCTGGACATGAAGGCGCAGGCGTGCAAGCCCTGCGCGGAGGGCACCTACTCGCTGGGCACCGGCGTCCGCTTCGACGAGTGGGACGAGGTGCCCCACGGCTTCGCCAACGTCGCCACCAACCTGGAGGTCGACGACGGCTTTGGCGACGCGGTGGAGAACTGCACCGCGTGAGTCGTCGCGCCGCCACCGCCACGGCTCTGCCCGTTAACCGGGGGATGTTCGGACTCGGCCACCCTGGCGCGGCGGGGATGGGGACGGTGCGCGGTGCGGCAGCGAGCAGGATGGGTGCTGCGATGCCTCCGTGCATACAGAGCACCCCGTTTCCCCGACACCCCGTCCCCCACGCTCCTCCTGTCACCCTTCCCTGGGAGGCGGGGTGCTGCGGGGGACACCCCGGCCACGGCACGGGGACACCCCATCAGCGTCGTCCCCACCCGCCGTGGCAGGACCCCACCCCCACGGGACGCCCACGCCAGCCCTCGCC